TACTTTATTAACATATTCTGTCTATAAAAAGGATTTTCCACTTCTCATCTCAACTATTGCTGAGGTCTCTAGGAAAGGGTCTCGGCTTCCAAGACACAGTAGGTCAGTAACATGTACATCCAGCGGTCTGTAACTGTAACTGATGTATCGTTCCTGGCCCTGCTCCTTTAAAGCAGGGATATGCAGCAGCTGGGCGATATGCTGATTAAGAGAGCAGTGTGTGGGAGAGGAATGTGGAGTGAGCACACTGCAGGAGTCATCACGTGAGCAACCTGAGCAATTAGTCTTAAACCTTGTGAGCTAAATTGAGATAAAAGCCTGGTGAAAACGACATCACAACTCTCTAAATAATTTCTGGTGTCAAAGCCAGTGCTCTTCCTGATTAGATTTCCATTTTTTTTTTACGAAAACTCACAAGTCCTAAAGGACTCAGTGTTTTGGATATGTGATCAACAGATATACAGTATGTTTACACAAAACCTGGGTTTCTTACCTCAGCGGTTGGTGATTGGAGCCCTTGCACTACAATCTAGAGGGCTGTCATGTGTATATCAAGACAGTGAACATGAAGATTTCAGAGGAAGGTTTGAGATAGAAAAAAGCAAAAGACAGGGTTAAGTCCCTGGCTATTCAGGTCATGATCTTGGAGCTAGATGTGCTAGTTCTGGCGCAGGGGAGAGCCTGTATAAATCACTCCTGTCTCAGTGTTTGCTCCTCTGCCTTGTGCTCTCTGCCACTGCTGCCAATTAAGAGTTTGTTTCTGCAGCCACAGGAGATAGTGAGGACTGGGGTCTTTCCACCTCTGAACAGCCTGCGTTTTAAATCACACAAAACAAAACCAGTCCCTTGTGCTGCTTCTGGCTAAGAAACCAAAAGTTCTCCTCCCAATGGGATATCTATAGAAATGGTTCAATTCTGTCACATGGAACAGCCAAAGTTATAAATATAACAGCACATAGAGTGCTATGGAACACAATAAAGCCAACATCTGCGGTTTAGAGTGAGATACTTAAAATATTTTTAAAGATTCAACTGAGCTGTAAGAGAAATACATTTTATAAGGAGTTTTGGACAGAACGGCAAGGATTAACTATGTGCCTTCCCATGCTCAATACAAATCCGGGTAACCGGTGTTCCTGCTGATGTCTGTCCACCTACTGTAGCCAGCTGTTCCCCAGGAGTACTCCAGCACCTGCCTCCAGCTGCACAATTTCCTACCTGAAATCCCGTTGTCTCCAATAGCTCCCCTGTGACCTGATCCTGCAATCTATTAAGGCATTTATGAACCTAATCGAATGGCTGCAGCTGTTTGCCTGTCAAATTTGACCGGCTAACGCACTTGTGACTGCAAATCTAAATATGCCCGTCACAGATTTTCAAAGCACATATCCCCGTTGACAAATCTTAATCTGCGCTACAAAGACGTCTGCTGTATAACTGTATAAAAGTTGTGATCAGCCAAAGCCCTCCTTAATCTCTTTATTGTGTATCTTATAGCTGTTGACTCAAAACATTTTTATCTACAAATCAATACTGCTTTCATCCAACTACCAACTTGGCACATACTTTAATGCCTGACGGAAAGAATTGTGCTCTATCATAGCTATATAATGCATCGCTTGATCAAGGACTCTTTGTTTAACACTACACAAACACTATGTAAACATACTGTACAACAGTGTGTTTTCTCCGCACAGCATCTAGGACACCTCCATTTTTTCCATGTTTGTTTACGCAGTCCCGTTGGATATTGATTTTCAGAGCCCCGCTGGTCCACGAGATGGCCGTGTTTATTAGTCCTGGAGCAGTGATGTATTCCAGTCACAGAAGAGGAAAATGAGGGTTTTCACTGGTGAATGGATGGGGTTTTGGAGGTGGCATATTGCACCTAGCCAAGCGGAAACGCATTTATAGCATCCCTTCGAAGCACTAAATGATCCTTTAATACAGCAGGATTAAACCAGTCAGCTCACAGAGAAATTAATCTCCCACTTGATTAACAGATTCGCAAAGGTGAAGAAAGAAGCTAAATTGTAATAAAATAATTCCTTCTTTTTTTAACTATTATGGCCCAGCTTCCTTTGACATCTATCAAGAAAATTCACTTATGGTTACAGCAGAGCACAGAGAAGGCTAATTGTCTTATTTGCTTATCATAAAGGAGAAGGTACACGGTCTATAACACACACACAACCCGATTCTTAAGCCGCGTCTGTATTCAGTGCAGCTCTACCTGCTGAAGGTGTAGGAAGCAGAGACAACAGCCATGGCCAGAAGTATGATGAGCTGGTTCTTGGTGATGTCTTCAAGCCTGGCCCTACAGTACTCTGTGCACTTTATTACCCTTCTGCATTTCGAATTCTTTCAATAACACTTCAGCTTGAGATAGCATTGCTATCTCTACAGTATGTGTAACAATCACATTGCAATCTCTACAGTATGTGTAACAATCAGCTGCTATTTAAGAAGGTCCATCCTTCTTTCACTCCATAGTTTTGATAATAATATTACTTTAATTGGTCATTCCAAAGTCACTGGTAACAATTATTTCCTTTTTTTGCTGAGGAATACTATACAGTACATTATTAAAGGGAAATTTGCGGTTTTCCCAAAATATAACATGATAAAAATATAATGTGATATTTTTTCATTTGTATTTATAACTTTAAACAACACACCCTATTTTTTTCCTACCATAGTTTTTCTTGGCATTTTTGTATTGCAGTAAAGGTTAAAGTCTAGGCTAATCTCTTTTCAAGAGGTCACTCACACAGCATAGTTTTGCCCACAGTGGAGGTGGTGTGAACGCTGCCCTTGCCCTCTTCCAGGAAAAACATTTAAAAATAAAATAGGTGGTTTGGCTTTCCTGCTCCCTGTAGTATCAGGGTCATTACTGCTGTGTTTCCACTGCTTAGCGTTTCTCTTAGGTTGCACTTTGAATCTGTGCCGTTATGCTTAGGATAAGGATACAAACTTGGAACATGGCTTCAGTTTATTTACTCCACACACAGCCACATACGCAGTAGAGTCTGTTGGCGTCATGCTTACGACTTCCAGGAAGTCCCATGTTATCCTGTTTGGAAACCTTGACAACTGCAGCTTGTGGTGCAATAGCTGGCAAAAACAGCAAACACATGTCTTTTTCTGAAACGGGGGCCTGTGGAACTGAGTGGTATTGTGGGGGGAATCTTCACGATCACCATGCTCTGGTTCAGAGAGCTACCCCATAGGAGATGTGTAAGCAACTGAGGGACCTCCTCAGACTCAGAAGATGTCATATCTATTCTGATTTACATTGTCTTAGAGCCTTTCTGGAAACTGCTCATGGACACTCTCTCATGGCAGTGCAGGGAACACTTAGCATTCTACAGACACCTTGCTGCAATGATTGAGAGACAGATGCATTTATAGTTTATAGAAAATATTTATAGCAAATATTTAAAGACTGTGACTTAGAGTTTGAAAACTCGAAAAACTCAAATTATTACTCTAACAGTACTTGTTGTAGCAAGTGTCTTGGATGAGTATGGGATGTAGATAGGTGAATTAATGTAATCAGTAGCTCCTGCTAAGGTATTAAGGTAGGGAAGTTATAGCTTTATAAGCACGATCTGGCTTCTTCGATTGCTGTTAAAATGTCTTCTTGCTGGAGGTGTGTGGTGAGGGCTTGTCTCACTACTCAAATAAATGCTCCAAGTGATGAAGCAGTAGAAAAAAAAAGATCTTGGCTTTAGGCTACAAATACAGTATACTCTCTGCCTCTCTACGATCACCCATGGTGAAAAAAGCTAATGGATTTTCCAGTGCAGGCTGCACAGGTTTGTTAGTGGGAGCTAAAATCTCATCCCAAAGTGAAAGAATGGATTTGTGCTGTTTGTACTTGCCTACTGGGACTGCCCCGTCTGCAACAGTAATATAGATGTGCAGTGGAGATTTGTATTGTGTGATGAACTGGACAAAGGATCATCCTGTCCCTTCTGCGGAAAAACAGCTTTCACAATTATGAGTCTGGGTCCCTGAATGCCACCTCCTCTGTCAACACAATGGAGACTCCAGTTCTGTGGAAAGATTACTCATTTACTTGGATGGGGTTTCCAGGGAAAAGGGTGACCACATGGTTGCATGTACAGTATACTTGGACATTAGGAGACAGCATGGGATTTTAAAGTTCCACTTGAAATATATTAATGTGCAAATTCAGCATTCTACTCTTGCACATTTTATTGGTGCTTAATGACCTTGTGAAATAAACCTTTAATGATCAATATTAATGATTTGGTCTGGAGAGTCATTATGAATTAGGTTTTACACATAAGCTTAATAATCATACCAAGTAAATATTTGTAACTGCAAAAAAACAGCAATTAATTGCTTTATGAACATTTATTGTTATTCCTCTCCAGGGTCAATTAAGCAACAGTACTCAAATCTATAATGCTTAATTTAGAAGTGAATGTACTTCCATTTAAGGGCATATTTAAAATCCTAATCTGGGAAACATGGAGTCATATGGTCATCCATAGGTTAGAATGAAACTGGCTGAACAGTTTAACACTGATAATTCAGAATAATGCCTGCAGACATCGGGATTGATTAACTGGCGAAGACTGGTGAAGTGGGAAAATGAAAAACGAATCTGTCTGAAGTGCTTACACAGCCATGTTTTATTAGTCTGTCTTAATCTTATGATTGGAACTGAGTGCAAACACAGTACTTGAATAATTGTTTGTGCAATCATTGTCTGCTAGCCTTCAAATTAAATCTCTCTTTCTCTACCCATGAGGGGTGGTGTCCTTGTCATCTTAATAATGATGCCAGAGGACCTGCTGTTATTGGTTGAGCTCTGAATGTGTAGATGGCACAGCTAAGGCAACGTACAGGTGTTCATCCAGGTATATTTAAAAACAAAGACTCCTTCTGCAGCTGAAACCTCTGCTTCCTACTTCCCAAATTCAGAAGAGAAAAGGCCAGGCCTTGAGCCCCTGACTTGCATCCCTCACCTGGTGTAGTAGGAGTCCACGCCCAGCGCCTCACGGACATTGGCAATGTGCTGCTCAAGTGTGGAGCTGTTGGCACTCTGCAGGCTGATACTGCTCGTCTCATGGAAATCTGTGCCACCTTCGACCAGCCCGTCCCCCAGGTACACCTCATGGAACTTCAGGATCCCTGGAAGGGGAAATAAGATCACCTGTCATTGGGAGGAAGTGTTTGAGCTCGGTGCAGTACAAAATTTCAAGAATTAATTACAATAATGTGCTTTACTGAGCTTCCCAGGTTCCACAAGTCTACAGACTAGCAGCTTTTGCAAGAAATCATCAAAAGCACTAGACTTCAGAAAGAGGACTGAGGTAGCTACTGAGGACTTACTTGGGCCAGCTAACCCACCTGCACAGGTCAGAAGCCACTGATTAGTACAGGACAGCTACAAGACCTGCTGGAGTATTGTCTTCAGGAACCAATCAACAAACAAAAGAGCTTCTTAAAAATTAATGTGCTGAGCATCATTACATGTAGTACGAACTATGGTATGTAAGCAAAATATCGTTATTTAGATTCATTCTATCCTTTCATTTGAAATTGAAATTACATTTTTGAATTACAATTTTTGCCACCATGGTATTGCTGATGTAGAATCAGTCCTGAGAAGAGCACCCATATACATTCCAGGGCTAAATGGAATGTCTAACAATGACAGCTGAAGGAACTGAACCTTGAACAGAGATGACTATGATGGGACCTGATACAAGAATCCAAAATCCTCAAAAGTATTGACACGTTCAATCCAAATGATTTCTTCAGAATGTATAGTCAAGCACCAGAGGGTGCAAGTGGAAACTATATGATAGTGCATTTACAAAAGAGTGGGAGGCACTTCTTCATCCAAAGGATGTTGGAGTGTGGAATAAGCCAGACACCATTTTGGTTTCTATCAAGTAATGGCTGGATGAGATCCTCAGATCAATTAACTACTAACTACCAAATAGCCTCCTCTCATTTGTAACCTTACAGACATTCAAAATTAGAAGCTAAAAGCCGGCTGCGTTTATCTGCAAAATGTCACCTGGTATTGAGCTGTAGTCTGTTTCATATTTGCACAAAATTGCAGGCCAGAGCAAAAATGATGCGAAGTACACTACTGCCATCTCAAAAAAGCACTAGACTATAGCTCTCAAAAAACAGACATGCTTTTCTAAATCCACAGACGTGTATTTCTAAATCCCTCAGAACTGTAATGCAGACCACAAAAACAAAGCCTGCTTTGAACGCTGCATCTATTTGACCTCAAAGTCATTTTTAAGCCACTGCCATTAAACATCGAAGGGAAGTGGATTAGGTTGATTTTGGGAAGAGAGTTTTTATCAAACTGTTTAACACACCTCTGAATAAAAACATTACAGAGAAGAGCCAACTTCTGAGTAGCTGTTTTGTTAACACCCCGTGCCCAAGGAGCAGGTGGTGCCCTCATCCCAGGCTGTGCCAGCTGCTGAGTGCAGCCTGATGGTAGAGCTGCTTAGCACAGGATAGGAGGGACTGGGAATGGGGATTGAAGTCAAGGGATGGCTGCTGTCTGGACATCTGCAGGGCCTCCTGCGAAGAGGCGGGCATCTGCAGCACTAGGCACTGCAAGCATGGTTAGTGCCAGACCTTCCCTGGGACCTGCAGTGACCTCTGCCATCTGGCAGGGGCAGGAAGAGAGAATTAATGACCGGCTAAGCAACACATGGTTTCAGTGGGTGCTGTGTGCAGGTCTTTAACTCCTTTTCTGTTCTGATCTAACTGTGAATAAGCCAGCGTTTCTGAACCTGATGATCTCATCCGTAATGGAGATGAGGTCAGCAAAGTCCACCTTCACATAAAACAGCCTATTACCTTGGCCTGAAACAGATCTGAGCAGTTTTCATTTCAGTGCAGTGGGTGATTCATCCTCCAGGCTGTTTCTCCCAGATGTCAGTCAATATAAATTAAATGAGCTAAAAGCCCTAAACTAGTAATTTGACACATTAAGACAAAATAATACTATTAATAAGAAGAACAAAAAGTGTGTGATTTTTATAATATTGTTTCTTTTGCTTTACGTTTCACATATTCAAACAATACCAAAAGCATAATATTTCTATTTGTTCATCTGGAAATCTTTAAGGTCCAGTTGGTATGTGGCTTGATAGTGGGTATTCTGGAGCAGAGGGTGAACAGTTTTTGATTAATTTCTTACAGCAGTACTACAATAATGGTGTATTTGAAATGACTGTGCAGCAGAGTTTATGGATGCACAGTTCTCTCCCTAGTCTCACTATATAACAGTGTCACTGAAATGACTAATTATTATTGCTTTTATTGTTATTATATTGCACCATCTCATATGTAATGATAATAGTCATGGAAACCGCATTGCCCGGTCACTGTTCATCCACATTATAAATGACATCAGATAAAAAAATGACCTTCTAGTAATTGAAGATGGAGAGAAAGCAATCTCAATCTCAGAGAGCAATCTGTAAGTTCAGTCCATCACACTGTACACTGGAGTCAGTCTCGCTCGGGAACACAGCTGTTTTCAATTGCTGCTTTTCTGACATTTTCAGGATATATTTTAGGAGATGATTTTTCAACAGAATTTCCCTTGCATGCCCCATACAGACCCATAGAGGAAGTGCCCTGATCCCTCTGAATGTGAAAGGTAAAACCTAAAAAAGGACCGTTTCTTTGGGTAATAACGTGAGGTTAAAATCTCACCGCTGTCACTACCATGTCTGCTTTTGTGAACAAGTATGTGTCCAAGAGGCTGCTGCCTTTCTGATGTCTTTTCTACTTCTCTTGCAGCTTATGGACAAATATCTGCTTCAAGTGCTTCTATCATATCAAGGTTGGAAAAGAGTGTTACAAAACAGCTGTGATTTAAGAACCCTTTGACTTGCTCTTTACTTGCTGATTGTTTGACAATGTCATATGCACTAAAAGCGATCTACTGTGATGGACTGACAGTAGACAGTACTCTAGGCTCCTACCTGGACAGGCTCCAGCTCCCCCGCGACCCTATGCTGGATGAAGTCATTAGAAAATGAAAGGATGGATGGTAAGCGATAAGTGATCTACTTTGAAATATATTGGGGAAAGGTTCTGAAGTGGCTCAACCAAGTTACAGCACACATAGTCAGAATGCAGGTTGTGCCCTATGGTCCAGACTTTTTAAGTCTGAGCCTGGGTCATGCCATTATGAGCTGACTGTGACTGGGATTCCCCAAGTGACAGTGCGCAGTGAGGGGAAAGTTTACCAGAGTTTAGATTGTGGAAGCTGCTCTATGGACCTGTTGGATGCCGACTGCCTTGCAGCAATATCGCTCTTCGACTTTTCCAACTCTCCCCAAAAAAGCGCAGGGATCTTGCAGCTTGTCAAGGACCTCTGTCTGGTGGTTGTGACACAGAAGGATCTGCTTGATTCCTAATTCTCTCCATATGGTAAAGGAGCAGAGAAGTTGAGTATGAAATAGAAATGTTTTTTTTAAAAAAGGAGCTCATGTCGTCATTTACGATTTTAAGAGATGCTCAAAAATACAAGTGGATTTTGCGATCAGACTTGTAAGATCCTCAGTCTTAAAATCTATCACTGATAGATGCTAAAGGTTAACTATTGACAAAGGGGTTTTGACACATCAGGTGTGCGATGAGAACAGAAGAACGTATGGTCACACACTGAGAACAGAGAGACTGACTGCACATGCCCTCTGGGCCTGGCACAGCCAGAAGCAGTGAAGCAGGTGGCATTGTGCTTTCTGTTAATTTGTTGCTTTATTCATTCCTTTGAACAGCATCCAAAAACATGCACTATTGGAATAGAAAAGACATAGAAAAAAAGTCTAATAAAGAGATAAAGCTAACAATAAGGCTTGAGATTCAGTCTGTTCTCACAGAGCAAGGCAGATTGAGTTCCAAGTGTGTCCAGCTATCAAGACAACACAGGGTGTACCACCTGGATCAGTTACAGGATGCAGCTCAGAGATCAGCTCGGATATAAAGATCCCTGTTGCCCCGTGCTTTTCAAAACAGGACCAGAACAAATATCCATATGTTTGATCTTTTGCAATTATGCTACTCAACTGCAAGAAAAAGCATGGAGTTTGTTGTAAAGGGAGCTGGTCAGCAATTGAGAAGGCTTGAAAAAACAATGAAACAAAGATGTTCAGGATAATTTCTTTTGCCAAAGCTATATTGCGTTTTAAGAAAGATTAAGAAACTGAATCTATTTTGTTTTGAACAAAATAAGCAACATTTGTTCACAATTTGGGATTTGTTTTAATTATTTAACTTTTTGAACATTCAAAAGGAAGTAAAACAGTTGGTGACTTTTGGACGGCTAATTCTACTTAAAGACTTCATGGTGTCTGGAACAAACTACCCATCTTATTGAGGCTGACAATCTGGGATCACTCATGAACTGGTTGGATGACATTCTTCAGACTCATTCAGATGAGCATGAACAGACCAAAGTCTTTCTCTTGTTTATATCTTTTTAATATTCTAAGATCTGATCAGATTTTAGCCAACATAGTAAGTGTGGGAAAAGAAAGTTTTAATTAAGGACAGGACTGTTACACTTATAGACTTTTGTACTGCTTGTTTACTCATCTGTCTCATTATTGAAGAATGTGGTGAAAGAGAATTCCGAGTAAGCATTTCTCTTTAATCATCTGTATATGATATTAATATGGAATTGGGATGAAGTGCTGCCAAATCTGCGGCTTTGTTAATATAATCTATCACTTCATAAACAAGGGGCATGTTTTCAATTAACATGAGTGATGAAGGCTCTGCTCTAGCAATATTTGGACTCCCGGCTTGTGCTACTAGTGATTATCTTGTCATACCTCAGACTTCATTGAAAACAACCGTGACACAACTTTACACAAGGCAGGAAAGCGGAAGACACAAGCCCTGTGCTCTACTACGGAAACACACCTCTTTATGCTGATATAAAAACAGAAAACTCAATGCATAATCTTTTGATTAAGGGGCATGGTTGTAAGATTTTAGCAGTTAACCAACTTTTGTCTTTTTAATTAAAAAAAAAACTTTCCACTAAATGTAAAGAGAACTAATATATGTATTTCACCAATGGTTCATAAAAATGGCATAATTAGTACATAGCAAAGCTGTTCTCACCTTGATATTTCCCCATTCCTGAATTATGAATCATTAATTAGATTTGCACCTCTCTGAAAATTTTAATCAGCTTTTTTTAACGACCTGTTTCTCTCCAAAGCTGCTCAGTCTATTTTTAGGTTTTGGGGACGGCACAGTGGTACAGTGGTGAGCGTTCTGCCTCATGTCTCTGGGGCCCCGGTTCAGTTCCTGAGCTGCTGTCTGTGTGAGTTTGTAGGTTCTCCTCCTGTCTGCGTGGGTTTCCTCCCGCATAATCCTAGATTAATTGGCTAGAAGAATTTGCCCTAGTGTGTGTGTTTGTGTGTCTACAGTATGTGTCCCCTGTGACGACTGGTGTCCCGTCCGGGGTGTATCCTGCCTTGTGCCTGCTGCTTTCTGGGATAGGCTCTGGCTCCCCAGCAACCTCATATTGGATAAAGAGGTTGGGAAATGGATGGATGGATTTGGACACTGCTGATTTCACTACAAGTGAATAATCGGTATAGAGTGACTCCCACGGCTTCTCCAGTGTCCCGACTCTTTGTGCTCATACCTGCCCCAGGTGCCAAGAGCCAGCTGTAGAGGTACCCAGCAGCCAGCGAGTAGTACAGCACCAGGCCTCTCTGGCTGTTGACCATCTCCAGGATCTGGTCGATGGTGACGGGGGTGTAGGGGTCAGAGTCCTGCTGCCCAGTCTGCCGCTCCACCAGCAGGTCGGCAAACGCCCGCGTCCGTCCCCTCTCGGCCACTGCCAGAGCCTCGTCGTGGTGACCTGGAGGTGTCGCAGACACACAGGCAGAAGAGATGCCATCAGTCGTACCGGTGCCGCAGCTGCTTCCCGTTTTCAGGGGAGCTGGTGCTGGGGGTGGCCCACGGTGCCAGAACCAGCGCTTGTGAAAGTATCGGGGCTGCTCTGTTCTGGGGAGTAAGTCAGTGCAGAGAGCCAGAGCACCCCTTCAGCCCTGTGGGCTTCACCTTTAACTGACAAAACCAGAAGGATTGGCTTAGTAGCCACAAATTAATCCACCCCAATATTTTATTCTTCTGCAAAACAAGCAGGTAGCGGCGTATAGTACATTTACACAGGTGCTGCAAATGGGCTGATACAGTATACCTTTAATTGCTCATGTTTTCCTTCCTCTGCTGATTTCTGCTCCAGTTCAAATCTGAACAATTCCTTCTTGATCTGAGGTCCTCAATGTGTTTGGATGGGATCACTGCTTTGTTCACTAAGTATTGCCAATCAACACGTATAACATTTTGAGGCTTGGCGGCTTTCTTGTGTGATGATCTAAATATCTAAATCCGAACTTTCTATGTGCACTAATGCTATCACAATGTTGATGCATAATGTAGAAACAGTAATCCATGTCATTTTATCATCTTCAAGTTCACAAACACTCATGGTTTTCACTTCTGGTGTCTGCTCCCATTTTTGTTTCCCATTTCTGATCTACCACCGAAATAAACTGCTCTGTCGTTTATTTTTTCTGCCCACCGATCTAAATGGAGCAGAATAATCACAAACCACAGACTGTGCAATATTATTTAATTAATGTTGTGCTTTTTCAATGAAACTACATTCAATTATTTTTAACAAATACTACCAAGTTCTATATTTACTATGGCTATCCTGTAAATGTCTGGTCCATGGTAACAGTTACAATTAATTAGTTATGCAGTTAGAACTGCATACGTTTTGACGACAGAAAGCAGCTGTCCTGCACCATTAATGTTCTTAATGTTTCTAAACAGTTTATTCAAGGCCCTCAACTGGGAATAAGGTTACGTCACACTAGAATTAAAAAGCATGGGAAAATGAGTATGTTTAGTATTACAATAAAACCTTCACTTTTAAACATCTGACATACTTTCTGTAGTCGTCTTGCAAGATTAACCAACCAGTGTGTGAGATAACTGTGGCAGAGGACTGTCCTTGTTGAGCACTGTGCAGAAGGTAACACTCAGGATAGCGGTAGGGAGCATACCAAGGCTAACCAGGACCCGCTGCAAAGCTTGATAGGAGGAGGTCTGCAGATCGAAGAGCGACAGCTTGTAGTCTGTGCTGTGCTGGGCCTCGTGGCGAATCGTCTCAAATAATGCTGATGCACGATAAAGCTACAAAACAAAGAACAACACTGTGTATTGCATATGCATATTGTATACCCCTTGGCAAGAAGAGAACTCATGGGCTAATGAAACACGAGCCTTCCTGGCTGGGCTGGAAGAGCACTTTTGTTTAGAGACCACAAGAGGGCAGCAACCCTCCTCCATACAGGAGAGTGGCGTAAAGTCTGAGAAAGACCTCTTCACAACACAGGTAGAATTCAAAAGGAAACCAATTGTTGGCAAATGCCCTGGTTTTCTTGTCTGCAGTTGGATTAAAGAATGATAACAGAGTTAAATTCCTGGATAACCAAGGATCTGAAAATGACTTTTAGCTTCCTTTTGACAATTATTGAGTTTTGGCTACTTTAACAAGGAACTAAATTACAGAAGGGAAATACCAAATGTGGTTAGCATATGGAAGAAATGATATATCTAGACTATGAACGCTGATTTGTGTCTTGTTTAGGAAAAAACTTGGTAGTGATGTCAACGAGCTCAAGAGAATTATCAACTAAAAAAACTACTGGCATAATGGTCCCTTCACCCTAATTCAATAGTGTTCAATGGGACTGTAAAATAAAGTCAGAAATAAATTACAATTACATACAATATAGTATCAGAAGACTGAGAGCTTCACTATGTAATTGTAACTGCATCTATGTACTGTAGGTCCGGAAGATTGTTTCAGGAATTCCAAGGCTTGCATGGAGTTAAAACTTGAGCACACTTTATCAGCATCTATCCAAAGTGATGGCTAGCCTGCAATCAATTAACTGAGGAATGCTGTGTGTGACTGCAAAGAATTCTGCCAGCACTTTGCATTAAAAATAAGAGCTCAAGTGTACTGTAGACATTTTATTAATTGAGAGAAATTTCTGGGCTGGCGAATTTAGCCTGGGCATTGATAAATAATACCATCTTCATCTGACCTTGCACAGCAGTTTTTTAAGTACTTGCTTGCAAAGACTGTCTGTCCTTACTCAGGGTCACTCAAATACAAATCTACTACAAGTCGGACATGAGGATTTCCTGCATTCACAAGCTTGCGAACATGAGATCTGGAAACATATAACATGTTCTCTTTATTATAGCCTTTACTCACTCAACTTAACTCCCAAATTTACACTCTCCTCACCTTTTTAAATTAAGCTGTTTCCCATTTCCTAAACCTGGTTCCTAATTGACACATCTTCAAACATGTAAATTGCACAATAGATTGCTAGGGCTTTTCTGCATAATGTGCCAAAGTGAAAATTATTTATTGCATCTATAAATCCTAAGTGTTCGACGCCTAATTAGACCAGAAGAGCCGTCTTCCTTTATTTCTTGTAATCAGGTAACTCCGTTTCAGCTGTTGTTAAAAAACAAATCTTTCCTGATTATTTTATTCATGAGTTTTTACAAGCCCTTGGCTTGGATAAAATCAAAACGTCGAGCCATCTTCCAGTCTCAAATTTCAGATCATCAAACTTGATGGCAGCTCTCCATTGGGCAGATGCAAAAGTCAGGCTCTGGCTAATGAAAATTACTGTGAAGCAAAATACCTAGAATCTCTGTGACACTAGAATCTGTGGAACTGGAAGATTTGGATTTCTTCCTGTTTTTCTGGCTGAATGAGGTAACTGTCCTGAAGCTGTTAACGCCAACACAGGCGCTACTAATAGGCTACTGAGCAAACAACCCTTTAAATACTAAATCATCTACTGGATTTCCTTATTGACATTGATATCCTGTTCTGTCTTTGCTGTATCACATTATTGAGGTCACATCAAGGTCTGATGTTTTCTTTAAAACCATCACTGTCTCTTCACTGGACCTCACTGTATTTTAAGGACATTCTCCCAACCTCACAATCTCTTGCTGTACAAAGTAATGATCTAATGATCTGCTCCTTCAGCCAGCAATAAAATGTTTTACTGCTATTATTTGTTTTACAAAGTAGATCACCCATACTGTATTTAGTATATACTGTATACAGTAATTGCTATTATTCTTATCCTTCTGTGTAGTGTGAGAGGGGGTTGAAACACTGTGCACACATCATCCAGAGAGTGACGTCGCTCGAGAAGAAAGTAGACCTCGATGTGAGCTTTTTAAGCAATTAAAACCACCTCCGGGACAGAACAGACCAAGCAAATGACAGAGGGATTATAAACCCCAAGATTTAATGGAAAATATTGTTGCCTACTGACCAGGTTGCTCACTAGTTGTAATATCTATTTTTTTTTAATTATGCAATAGCGTTCAGTAGTTCATTTTTTACAAGAAATGATTCTGAAAAATCTCTCCATGTAAAACATTCTCTGGCAACTGGTTTCTATGCTGAAACACCCCATGTGGCCAATATGCATCATTTCCACTGAATAACAAAGCACTTTATTTATAATGCTCTCTTTGAAACACAGATACACTGAGGTGTACAGTATTTGTGTGGGCAGAGGTGGGCAGTGAAACAGAGCCAGGCTTCCAGTGTCTTTGAACCCAAGGGCGCCAACCAACTCACAGGCTTTATAGGAAGCAGTCCAGGGTCTTAGGTGAAGAGGGACCCCCAGAAAATAACCTCATAATTATATCCACACAATATATTATATAAAACAGTGCATTATACATGGATTGCAGTAGAATAATATATTTTGCCTACATATTGTATTTAAACAACTTCCTGATAATGATCATGTGATAAGATTCTAAAACATGCCCCTCACATCTGCTTTGTTTAATTAAAAGGCAAGTTTCATGTAGTGTTACTAATAGCTACGCCATAACTAAAATTTTGTTTTAAACTGGGTAAAAGACTTGTCTGTAAGTGGCTTCACAAAACCTATTGCCTCGGTGCCCACTGAAATGTTAGTTCAGCCCTGCAAGGCAGGTTCAGCGACAGTGTGTAGTTCTGTGCTTCACTTTATTATCCTTCCTCTTCTGGCTGCTCCTGCAATAAATCTGTTTGGTGTAACAACATGGAATTTGTCACATAAACTTATTGAATAATATTATCAGTATGATTAAATATTATCTTTCAGAACAAAAACAAAACTCCATTTTGCCTGGGATGTAACAGGGTTGCGTTTCCCAGGAATCATTTTCAATGTGGTTTGTTGCTCAACAGAAGAGATGAATGTTGGCCAAAGAGTATTTCACTTCAGACAAGTTTCCAGAGGGCCATATACCTTTACACAGAGAATATGTTAGGTTTTTAACATGTTTTGTCCTTTGAATAACCAGATAAATCAATTGAGTACAAATTCTCATTTGCAATGATGACCTGGAGACTAATTTCTACAGCATTTACTGGGCAACTGGAGAACTTTGTGCAAGGTCACAACAACAGCTTCTTGCCAAGGGTCAGATTCCACAGTCCTCCCATGTGGAGTCCAGAGCCCTGGCCCCTACTCCATTAATAATTCATTAATCATTAAAAACTGACCAACAGAATGCCAACTGTAAATTGGCATTCTGCTAACTACTAGCATTCTGCTAACTACTAACTACTAACTAAAAAACTGTGATATTAAAACAACTGAACATGCAGACAAGTAGTGTGAATAAGCTTTTTATTATCGATTAAAATGGTTTAAGTGTTTTAATTTTTAGTTCAGCGGCCCTTAGAAAGTAGAACTCAGAAAAGGAAAAGGCCTGGATAATTACAATTGCACATGCAGATCTACCTGTTCAAAAGCATTTTCCCTGTTTCTCACCTGTGACTCTGTGTGTGCTCCGTGCTTTGTCATATGTGACGTAATAGGTCTAATTTTTTGACCTATCAGATTTGGCACTAATTAATCTACCACTAATTACAAAGAAAATACAATACACATTTGGGGCCAATTTTGTTGAGTTCAACAAGAAGAGCCTTTTGCTCTTCATAGTCTAAAAAGTTATGCAAACTGAATATCATAGTAGAGATACAAAACCACTTCCTAGGAAGGAATTTCACAGAGTAAGATGAGTGACAGAAAACGAGTTTCAATTTTAAAATCCCAGCAGTATTTAGTATTTAGCAGTGTCTCTTGGCCCATCAAGGATTTAGACTTAGAAATGTACAAATCTGTCTTTGCACTTCAGGGTAAAGTCTGTCTTCCACTTGCCAGAAACAGTGGCAGAGTTTTCATAAGGGCCAAAAGAACACAGAACTGCCTTTTGCTTGTGTTGGAAAACGTTGTTTACTTTCATGCCTTGTGCAGGGTGACATCTGACACATTGCCTCCTTTGTCTTGAAGGGTTTAGTTACAAAAATTTGCCATTGAGAGTGTTAAACATTTTCATACCCGCAATCCAAGCTATAAATCCTGACTTGGTTAAGTGGCTGCAAACAGCTGATACAAGAAATGGTCACAATGCTTAGCTGCACCGTCATAATTCTGGCATCATAACACAAGAGTCCATTTGCAGCCACCAGCGTGTCAACAGGATTCAAAACCTGTCTACAGAGCCCCAACTGTGCTTCGCAGTCAGATAATAGCTTTCAGAGGGAAATGAAATGTTTGCTGATGTTTGTCACCAGTCCGAGCTGACAAGGTGCTAACAGTGGCAACTCAATTAGAAGGGAGAGAAGAACCGTGGTAGATGGAGTACAAGCTCAAATCGGTCCTGCCGAACATGCAACAATGAAAAAGACATTTTGTCTTGTTGGCCCCAGCGGACAGAGGGAGGAGGTTACAACTGCGGTTGCGCTTTCCTGTGATGAAGACCTTCTATACTCCAGGGGCTAAAGGTGTAACAAATAAGCAATGTCTAATTCTAGTACAGAAGGCAAACATCTGCCATTAATTAAAACTCCCAAGTTTTAATTACAATCCAATTTGTGTGTAGGCTGTGCTGTTTCTCCTGAGATTTATGGCACAGTATTTAGATTTGTTAAATATTGACTATAATTGCCTTATCAACCACAAAAACAAATTCTTAATACTTACCCTTTGAATTCAAACACAAAGTAGATACTGAATATCCTTCTTTTCATCCAATCTTTTGAATAGTGTAACAGGAAGCATTCAGAATAACATCATAGTATCATAGCAGAGTGAGGAAAAATATGTAATTTTAAACTATTTTCAGTTTTGCTTCACCTTATGGAAGTATTGAGCACTTCTCTTAATTACATCTGTGCATTTTAAGATGTTTATATAATGAAACATTTTCCGTTAAGATTCATTAGTGGTAATAATTTACTAAACGAATTAGCAAAATCATTTCTTCTTAATGCAAGTCACGTTATGCCAATGTTAACAAAACATAAAATATTTTATGAGAAACCTGATGTTCAAAATATACACTTTGTGCTTCGAAAACAAAATAAAAAAAACAGACTTCAATGACTGCTTCCTATGGTGTGAACAGGATCAGTCTTGCTGCACTGCAGTACACTGGTGCTGTGATGTGACCAGGGGCCTGGTACAGTACACTGGTGCTGTGATGTGATCAGGGGGCTGGTACAGTACACTGGTGCTGTGATGTGATCAGAGGGCTGAGACAGTACACTGGTGCTGTGTTGTGATCAGAGGGCTGAGACAGTACACTGGTGCTGTGTTGTGATCAGGGGGCTGTGACAGCACACTGGTGCTGCGATGTGATCAGGGGGCTGGGACAGTACCTGGTGTTGGGCCTCCTCCAGATTGCCACTAGCCCACAGAGACAGACCAAGACGGTGGCGGATTTTGGCTTCATCTTCTCTTCGGCCCAACTGTTCGGCCAGTCTCAAACCTGTGGGACAGAAAACGTTCTTGTCATTGCTGTACTAAAGAGGAAATCATGCAGAACTCCACTTGTGAAGGCAGAACCCAGCTTCATGTAATATTTACTCAGAATGTAGTATTTTTAAATAAAGCTCCCTCACACATACACATTTATACACAGGTGCTTTCTGGACTATTAAGGCTTAAAGTTGCCCCTAAAATGAAGGAAATTAATTTTTAAGCTGAAGAATAATTTTTGGCATATTCATTTATTCTAATGCAAGTAGGAATTATGACAAAAAATGTCTTCTTTAATGAAATTTATAAAACACTTTTTGTGTATTTCTTTGCTTAAAGGTTTTCATGGAGCTACCTACATTTTAATATAGAAATCAGATCACCATAATGTTTCAGGCCCTGACTGAAACAATAACACTGATCAGGTCTTCACTCTTGTCTGATTGGTAGAGGTGAACAGAAACGTTAACAGAAATGTACACAAGATTGGAGGATCCATTCATAATTTTGGGACAAAAAGACAGCACAAAAAGTGTAAACAAAAACACAGATTAAGTTTTCAGTACAACACCTGTCCTGTATTACTGTTAAACTGAAAACATTAAAATCTCTGGTATGACCTATTGGCTTTAACACAATCCTGCAAGTGCAGATGCTCAGATCTAATCAGCCTCTGGGCAGACAGCTGTGGGATGTTCTATCACTCAGATTAGAAAAAAATGTTGACTACAGCATGAACTTGACATTGTTTTCTCACATATTGTGAGATGCTGTGCTCAAAGGAGTACAGTCGCACTCAGTCCGCACAAAAACCATTCCTGTATTACAAGTGGTTCATTTCTATATCGTCAAACTCCATCTCTCAATGGATTGGTTTGAACAATGCAACAGTCATCTTAACGTGACATCTCTACACACATTGTCTTCCCTTAGACAGCTGGGCATTTTATTGAAGCGATTTCAGAAAATGTATCTTGTTCAAGGCTATGAAAATAATGCCCTTCCTGGGATTTGAACCCACAATCTTCCCATTAAGAATTCAGAGCTCTTACTCCATAAAACTGCCTAGACTAACCCTATAAAAGGCACTGTTGGAGGTCTGCCCGATCAAAACATGCTACTCTACCCAATTATTGCCCTGCTCCAGAGTGACAGGGGCAAATCGATTTTCTCTAAGTGTCGTGGGTTCCAGTCTGGGTCATGTCATGCCAGGTGTAACCAGGTTTCCTTCAGAGAAAGCCATCAAGGTGGGCCTAGTTGGCCAAGGTTCTGTCCCTTGTCCCACAAATAGCGACTCTTGTGACGTCCTAAGTTATGACTGCAGGGTTCCAGCAATGTTACAGCGAGACCTGCCGATTGCAGGTAGGCATGTTGGAGAACTGTGTCTGTGAGTCTCTCCTGGGTGGGTGTGGGAATCAGTGCTGGAGAGCTGACACTCTGGAGAGCCCAGATTGGCTGTATATTTAATAAACAAACAACTCACAATACCCATCAAAAAATGTAAACTAATTTCATTTTCTCTATGCCATGTAAAAGATGGAGTCTGAAAAAAGTGCAGTGCTGTTCTGCTTTTATAATACCATATTTTACTAAATCGAATGAGCCAGCTCACACATAGTTCTGTAATTGGGCTGCTTCCTGCTAACACTTACAGTACCAATTGAGTGTGCATTAACCTTCTTTTGAGATGACCGTGACTATTGAGTCAAGAAATTAACAGCTTAATGAACTTACTGTTTTAGCGTTCCAGATTTTATTAAGTAGAATTAAAATTGAAAGTCAACTGACATCAATTAATTTATGGTCCAAGTGAAAACATTATTAACTGACTAGGTTTGACAAACTTTTAATTAATAGATAACACAATCAATGCAATAATACGCATTTTGAAATGTAATTATGAAACTCCTATTTCCTTGTTTTAACTGCTTAGTAACAATGACATACTTTAACAACTAAAAGACCACACAACAGTTAAAGTTGTGCTTATTAAAACGTTAAATGATGACAGCAGGAATTTCATCAGTAAGGATTTTTTTTTTTAAATGCAGTGGTTCTAAAAATAATCATTCAACAGATAAAACATAAGGACCAGCTTGAAGCAATTTCACTTCCAGTTCAAATGGATAACAAACCCTAGTTATTTCTTTAAAATCTGTCCTAGTTTCTTTAAAAACTACAAGGGAAGCTTGGACACGACATCATTCCAGCATGTAAAATCTTCCACCCCATCACCAAATGCAATTCCCAAACCCAACACTTGATGGCAGGTTTCCACCGATCAGGCAGACGGGAGACGTCTGGCAGAGACAGCAAAGCCACCACCAAGTGACGCGTGTGGAATTTGCTATTGACAAGTGGGTCAAGATCTGGAACCCACCCAGGCCAAAGTCTGCAGAAAATAGAGGTGTCCGTTTTAGAGTTTTCCTGCTCCTAATGGACATAATGTGGAAAAAAACCCTGTCCTGCACAGTCTAAAGGCAATGAAATGCCTAAAGAGTATCCCATCTTTAAAATCTGCTCTTTAATGTCATCCTATACTAGTCTGTACCAATCCCGCAGTATACAGTATAGAGAAAACACCATCGTGAAACCCCTTTATTAAAAATACCATATGGTGGAAAATGAATTGAAACAGGCAGTCCAAGAAAAAAACAGTTTGTGCATCAGATCTACTATACGTCTGAATATTTAGAAAAACAGACCACACTCGTGGAAAGTATCCACGTTCCTCACAGAGTTTTAACTTTTTAAGTCTCGTTTAACTTTCTATTCTCCTCAAAAGAAAGGATTCTGTATGTAGAGTAGAAATTAGAAGCAATAACTTTAAGTCTTAATAGATAACTTAATTTTCAGTTTCTTTTAAATTCTGTTGTTAATTACATTGTTAATTGGAAAGAATGATCACATTCTAGAAGGTATTAATATAATCCAGTGTGAGTTATTTTGTTTTCAATGTACGTATATTTGAACATTTCTCTTGGTGTACTATGAATTAAGCACTGTTAAAGACAAAGCTGTGTCAATCCCTTATCTTGGTTAAAACTACAAACTCTACAACACTTTTCAATACAGTGTCCACCAGCTACAGTTCAGCTTGCGCACTTCAACTTCAAACTATGACAAAACCCTGAGACTTTCAGGTCTCCTCTGAAGAAACCCTTGATGGACAGATTTAGGCTTTTATCTTAAGCAAACACAGGACTATGAGAGAGAACTTTCAGGTCTTGAAACAGGTACCACTTTGGGTCTAGCTGCTTGGTGCTTGGGAGATTACCAATTGGTACAACAGCTTGAGGAACAGGCTCCAGACAGTTGCACTCTTGGGAAGCAGCTGCACATTTCTGGTCAAGATTCCTGTTCCTGCATGAGGGCTGGGACAACAATAACAAAATTGAAAAAGTCAAGCTAGAAGAAGGCAATAGAGTGCCTCATTTGAACCCAGCCTTCCACTGTGTTGAGCTGTCAATGAGAGGCATCGCACAGACTCTCCTGACACCCAGTGAAGTCAAGCAACAGATCAAGCGCAGGCAGACAGAACGCAGCCCAGGCGAGCTCTGCCCCAGTCTCACAGGCTTCTGGATCAACACCAATCAGTTTTAAAAATGCCTATAATGATTCCAAACAGAAAAAAATATACTGCAATACTTCCACTTATCTTTGCTTGTAAAGTGCATGTCACAGAACAACATGCACCAATACTTGAGCTTCCATTTGAGTTTTCTCTGTTGATGGAGAATGACGCTGTACAGTGAGAAACCTGTTACAATGCATTGCAGCTTGGCAGTGGCTCCTATTTCAGTAGCATTCATCCTGATTACACAGCAGAAAATATTTCCTTTGCTGAGTAGGCTGCATCATGACAGCAGCATTACAGAGAGTAATGCAAAGCTAAATAGTGGTTATTAGTACAAATTAGTTTTTAGTTTTTTATACTGTCCAAGTTCTGTACTGCTAATGAACTGATTTAAGTGTTTTGCCTGTATTCTCCACATTCTGGTCAAGAATACAATAATAAAAATAATAACAGAGGTGCCACATGAGGGTCAGGTGATGGACTTGGCAGAGCAAGCAGCACTAAGAACTCACACACTCTTTTATTGGCTGTCCACAACCCTATTTTTTACCCACAAAAAAATACAAATATTTCATAAGGGAGCAACTATGCAAGTTGTGACCATGTCTGTGTCCACAGATAAAATAAATTATAAGATAAAATGAAAAAGGGAAAAATAGACACAAACAAGGTTCTGACATCATTAGAAGCAGATGAGAGCCCAGACCAGGAATACAACAAAGATTATCTATTAGAAGGGAAAATAACTGGTCAGTAACTCAACTGGTCATTTCTAAAATGTTTATGTGACACAACAATCTCTCTGCACTACAACAGTTACAACAGTTACAACAGATGAAAAGGAGCTGGAATAACATCACAGACCTGTACACCTCCTGACAAAAGGCTGACAAAAATAAGATCAGGGAGCTAAAATTGGAAAATATTTGGCATCCCTGAGGACTAAGCAGATCTATGAAATTGTATCTTGCAAGTATCGTAAGCTCTGAGTGATGTCATTACCCTAAAAATCCTTAATATCTCAGAATCTAAGGCAGCACAAATGGTGCTTTAAACAGCAGAAACCAGCACAAATGAATTAGAAGATTTGCTGTTTGTACAGCTGGTAGGGGTGCTAACTTCATTGAGCTACTATTGGAAAATTAAAATGGCTTGGTAGCACATTGAGGCCTCGTCTTGAAACCAACTCCTTGAGCAGCAAACGACCTGGACCCAACATCCTGAAATTAGGATCAAGAGACAAACAAAAAATTCTGAACACATTGAGGAAAAGGGAACAACGCATTAACGAACACCAGAGGTTCTTCGAGTCTGAGGATATTTTCATTGAGCTGCAGCACAGGGAAAATGGAATAGAAATTACATAAAAAACCCTACACACATTTCCCATATGTTTTACTGAACATGGTGAAGCTACAGTACATGACATCATA